TTCTTTTAGTTATCGTTGCGAGAGTTATTACATCATTGCGGGGAAAAAATATAATATGAAGTAGGAATTTTAAAATAAAATTGTAAAACCAGTCAATTTGACTGATATGGTAGTTCTAGCGTTAAAATACAATTTCCATGTACATTTCTAAGTTGCGATATGTTTGGTGTTGTTGCGAGGTGAATGACGAATTTATAGAAGTATTCGATTAAATGAATGGCGAATTAAAATTAAGAAAAGCGGAGAATTCTTCGGGATAAATAGAGAAGTACACGTTGGCGATTCTCTTTATTGGCTTGCACGATAGTTGCTGCGTTCTATTTGAAGATAAAAGACGTTGTTTATGAATAGATAGAGAGTGGTACGTGTGTTCCGAAGATAATGGAGCCTGTTTCGAATGCAACAGTATTGTTTGCAGAATATTGGAATATTCGAGGCTTATGTTAAGAAGAAGATATTTATAGAGGAAATGGTATTTTGGGCAGTTTGATAATGTTTGAAAAGAAATGACGCGATCTAAAGTGTGGATTCTAAAAGTATTGCAGTAATAGTACAATAACTGGAGTACATTTGCAGTGACAATAGCGATATGAAAATAATGCAAGTATAGTTGTTATAATATCGTTCTAATAATTACGACATTGCTAAGTTGTAACATATGAAATGTCCCATGAAAAATTGGAAATCACGCGTAATATTAAATAACGGAAGATGATGATTCGTTTCCGTGAGTTTATTTATCGAAAGATCGTGCAAATAATCGTAAAGTGTAATATGAATTTCGAAGAATAATGTTTGTAATGTTGTCGCTTCAACCGTTTGATAATTTATGGAGTATCGCAGTTAGTACAATATTAAAAATCAAAAGTATCCTAGGATTTGCATAAAGTGCTTCTTAACAATTCAGCTTCTTGTTCGTGGGTCATAAAAAATAATCGCAGAAGGAATTATTCAATATTCATTCCACCACAAAAGCTCATCTTTCATTTAACCTGAAAGTCCAGCCTGAAGCCCTTGCAACGTCATGAATTATCAGCTCTATCTGGACGTTACGTTCTCGTTTAAAAACAGTATTTCCACGGTGAACCTCGGTTAGGAACTAGAGAATCTCGATTTAAAACTTCCTCTCAAAACAAATCCCGGGCAACCAAGCAAGCAGAAGCAAGCTCGGAAGCTTTATCGGAAGCGAAAGCCAGGCAAAGAAGAGTTGAAAAAAACGGGAAAGAGGTGGAAGAGGTCGTAACTTTTGCAGAAAATTGCGACTGCCTGGTTAAATTGCGCGTCCTTTATTCCCTTTATTTCCTCGCGACCGATTCTTTTTTTCCTCGTCTGATTTTTTTCCCTCCCCTTTTTCTCGTCGCATGTCGGAATTTATGCGCGCCACCATGCTTGATAACAATGTTGCGGTGTAATATGCGGAGGGAACGTGTCACATGGCCGAACGAACAGAACAGAGAGGAACACGTATGCGTGTTTGGCTCACGCGTGTGAGTTTCAAGTAACATCGATCCGATGAGAATTCAACCCGATTAAATTAACCCGCGCTTGGATGTTAATTATCGTCCAATGGAATTAACCCTTCCGGCTGGAAAGAAAGGGATAGAGGAAAAGGCAGACGTAGGCAGGTACTTGTTGATTCGAGAAACCAGCTTCTTATCGGTGGTGAAGAGTGCTTGGCTTCTTTGCTTGCTTAAATTCGATTACACGATTTGTCCAAGGTTTGTTGCGTGACAAGAGAAAATTTCTTCAGGTTAATTCTTCGAGGTCCCATAGTTGAAGTCGTAGCGGCACTCGACAGCGAAGAACAACTCTCTTTTCAACGGTTTCGTCGAATCATAGTATACCATCGTTGACAGATTGTTTACGAAAGACCTACGAAACATAAGCAAGATCTTGACGAAGCACAAGTGTCGACAGGCCTAATGAACCATCGATATTCGATGGTCCTTCCGATAAATACTCGGAAGAAGGCGTACGTCACTACGATCGCGAATGCCTAACGAACGCGTGCGTAGTGGAGATATCGAGAGGTGACAAAAAGAAAAGAAAGGGATTAAGAGATCGGTCGAGACTCGTAACGAAAGCATTAGTCGAGTTAATAAACACGATATTAAATAAAACGCCGAGTATTTCTTTGGCACTCTACACTTCCTACCATCTCAAAGTAATTGCAGTTGCAGCGAATCTTTTAATTTTTGACCTTTTGAATTTGCAAACTGTCGAATTTCTTAGTATTTTAACTTTCAAATTTTCAAATATTCAAATTTTCAAATATTCAAATTTTCAAATATTCAAATTTTCAAATATTCAAATTTTCAAATTTTCCTAAATCTTTAAATTTACAAAGCTTCGAATTTTGATGTACCTAAGTTTCCAGTGCTTCGTACTTCCAGATACTCAAATTCCCAAACCTTCGAATTCCCAAATATCCAAATTCTCAAGTCTTCAAACTTCTAACTTTCCAACCATCCAATTCGTAATTTTTCAGACACTCCAATTTCCACGTTTTCCAGTCTTCGAATCCTCGAATACCCCAGCTTTGAGATTGGAACTTTGCAATTTCATTGTTACTCGATTGACTATGAAAAGATATGATAGAAATGGCAGTGATGTTATGGGAGCTACGGTGAAGACGAACGGCAGCCAAACATTTCGCTGGTTATCGTGATCAAATTTGGTGGTGTTAATTATCTTATCTGAAGGAAGACCCCCCGTTGAAGGGGGTCCATAGCTGCAGACGGAGATTAAACTCGATTCACAGAAGCGAGTCACGAAACGAACGAAGAAAGGTATGACGATCTTCGAAAAGGGTCATCGCACTCGGCTTGCCGTGTATAACGGAAGTGAGGCCACTGATTTCGAGTAGAACGACCCTGAAGGAGTGCGTGCGACGCGCATCGCGGACTTGCCTTCGCTAATTTGCTTTTCGATGCTCGTACAAAGCCATCCGCCACCACTTTTTACCGACCTTCCCTTCCTCTCCTATAAATCTTTTATAGAATATTTATATTATATCTTCAACCGTGGAAGAATGTTTGAAACTGTTGCGTTGCGTTTATCATCGATTTATTTCTCATTTTGCTTTATACATATTGGTTTATGCTGTTTTTCTTCATTCTCATAAATGTTTTTGCCTTTTCTATCATATGAGAATGTTTGAAACTGTTGCGTTGCGTTTATCATCGATTTAATTCTCATTTTGCTTTATATATATTGGTTTATGCTGTTTTTCTTCATTCTCATAAATGTTTTTGCCTTTTCTATCATATGAGAATGTTTGAATTCGTTGGAGATAGTCGTCAGAGTTTTGAATTATTATTTCATTTTATACGTACATTTTCTGCCAGATCAACGAATTGAATCTTTGTACCTTAGGAAAGAAGAAATTAACAATCTGCATGGTTCGTTTCTATCCCTACTACCCCTTCTCTACTCTACAAACATTATCAAACTTCGAGAAACCGTACGCTATAAAACGTCGCCTTACACCATAGTAATTCAGGTATAAGAACTAAATCTTCGTATCTTTTATAATCATCAGATTCTCTGTGCACGTGTACGCAAGATATCGCGTGGCTATTCAGCGCGGTATTGCATTTTCCACAAAAGAGTTCCAAAAGGCGTTCGAAACCTGTCAACTCGCTCAAATAAACTCCAAACTCCGACGTTTTATACGGATCGATGTGTCTCATCTTACTATCCTAATTTTTCATCGCGTTATACGAGCGTGTATTGGGTTGGCAACTAAGTGATTGCGAATTTTGTCATAACCGCCTAATGGCAAAATCCCCAATCATATAATTGCCAATCCAATATTATTAAACTTGATCTACCATGTTCTTGTTCTTCGTCCAACCCTTACTTCTCCCTTCTATTTGCCATTCGACAACTCAGAAAACGCACAGAAAGCAGCACGAACCGCACGACAACCGATTTTACGATCACGACCCTGTCTCTGAAAAATGTGAAAAAATCGGTTGATCGCGGCGTCGGGACGCGGATGACGTCGTCGGACAGGGTTCGACCAGCCGCGGGATGAGATTGACTGTCGAATGAAAACGAGGGATTGGAATCGTCGGTTTGCGGTGTCGTCTGACTGACAATGAAATCGAGCCACCGTAAACGAACTAATTGCAGGCACAATAATTATTCCAGGGACCAGGCCCTGTGCGGCCTCGTCGTCTGCTCGCGGATTACGAATCGATCGTGGCCGCTCTCTCTGTTATTAACCCTCCTAACCCCTGCTGCGTTCCTCCTATTCCCTGGCACTCGTGTTCGCGGATCGACGACCAACGTCGAAATTTATCGTCCCATGCGCTCTCTATCTCGATGTTGACTCTTCTGGGATTTCGATTGTTCGATGCTCGATGGATGAGTTCTGATCGTGGTAGGTTTTTCGGGGGGAGAGTGGTTGGTATCGGCTTTTGAAATTTTTCTTAATGAGTTTGACCGTGTTTCGAAGTATTTGCGGCGATAGATGATGTATATTGCCGATGAAATACCTGCGAGATGGAAATATCAGCGAGGTCGATGAGCTTCGATGGTGGATAAATTTTGGGCTGAATAATCGTAGGGATCTTTGAAATTTTTGTTAACGAGCTACACCGCGTTTTGGAGATTTCACAGCGATAGATGGAATTACGAGAATTTACAAATTGGATATGCGATCGTTTTTGTAGAAAATTATATCATCTGAATACGTTTCATTTGCAGTTGATGATAAAAAGTACTCTGCCATGTCCGGCATTTGGCGTATTTCAACCGAAATTATGAAGCGGATACGTAGAATCGATGCACGGCAATTCGATTAATAAACTAAAATTATTTAAAATCAACAAGATGATAAACCTCGTTATCGAGAATTTCATTTCAACGACTGCAGTTCCGATAAATCTACTTCCATTATATTCATTTATTTTATTACAAAGAAACGATAAAGCGTGTTTAATAATATCCTCTTTCAGCGATTGTTGGTAACGTTCGTATTTTATGATTTACAGGGCGGTGACGGATCCAAGGGACGGTAGGAGAGTGGCCTTGAAGAAACTGCCGAACGTCTTTCAGAGCCTCGTGAGTAGCAAACGGGTCTTCAGGGAGTTGAAGATGCTCTGCTTCTTCAAACACGAAAACGTAAGTAATATTTATTTTATTGCTCGCCTGGCATGTCGAAAAATTGAAGCTTTTCAGAGTTATAAAGTATAACTGTTGAACGATCATGATAATTTTTTCGCTATAACGATCGATCAAATTTTGTCGTCTCTGAAACGGCTCTTCGAAACGTTTTTATTTCTTTCTACGTTTATATACCGTTTACGGAACAGCATGGTAGACGTTGAAAGATCGAGCAATCGCTTAAGTTATATTTCTTATTGAATCCTCTAGCGTTTTCTGTTTTCTCTCTGACAGACGTTGGAAATTTTATTATAAAAATTTCATAAAGAATACGATTGAATTTTAGAAATAGACGAGTATTCAAATTCTGTCGTCAAATACAATGCTTCCAAGTATCGAATTCTTCTGTTTTTCTGAAATTATTTTCAAGTTTCAAGTTGCTTAAAAATTGTTCGCACTTGAAACGTAGCGTGTTTGACTTTCAAGTAACAAAACAGCCGCTTCTTACCAAAATTCAAAATTATTCGACGAGACTGAACGAAAAGTCGATAAGTAGATGTATAACTGTAGGTTTGGTGTCTAACCAAAAACCAGTGGTCTTTTTCCCCTTCGGAGGTGCTGATTTTCCAGTATATTCGCTTATCTGTGCCTCGGTTAGTAGCGGTTATCTGCCGTAGAATGAAAATACAGCCGGCATTTTGTTTTACGAGCTAGATAAGCGCATTATCGTCCGGCCACTGAAGGAACGTGTCGATCTCTCGAGCACAGAGAAGCGTTTGCAAATTCCAAGAATTTTAATTCCCCAAGGAAATTCTCGTCTAATAATAACTTGTGCACCGCTTGTATTTTTCAATTCAGAGGAGAACCTTCGAGTTTCGATTAAAGTGAATTTATCGTTCCTTGATTCGTTACTTAGGAAACATGAAACCGTAGACAATTAGTGTAAAAATTTCAAAGTAAAGAACAAAACATAGAACAAAAATAGAGAACAACTAGAAGAAATATAACGTAGATATGGAAGAACAATTTCATCCTTGTTTTATATCATCTTTAATGTCCGAATTTTGCGTGATAATTTTTTTCGCATCCTGTAGACGCATTATGGTTCAAGCTAAATATTTTCGCATAATATATATCGACGAGTAAATAAAATAAAATTGTGTTATTTTTGTGTAAAATTGTGCTCCCTCGAACGACGCAGTTTGGGTCATACGCGGATTCTTTTCTGGGGAAATTTCGACGTTCATTTCGAATTTATTTAGCGTGCTGTTACAATTTTTTTCGCCATGGCGAATACGAGAGACGAGAAAGAGCGAACGCGAATTCGTTCGTGTCAATTAGATCCTCGCAAATCGTCGTTGCGTAGAAGAAGTAACGAACGGACGAATTTGGGAAAAAGATCAAACGACCAATGCGTTCCTGCTAGCTACACGGCTATTTCTTTCTTTTCTGCTTCAATCTTTTGCGACGAAGGGGAGAAGGTTATTTCAGTTACGCGAATTTCCATGTACGCGAACAGTCGCGTCCCTAAAGCACGCGTTGTTCGAGGGAGCAACTGTGTTCTCAAATATTAAGTTTCTTACTTAGCAATCACTAGACCGCGGATATTTATGCATGTTCGTGTATTTATAGATATAATTAACAAAAACTGTGATCTAGATACGCTAGGTAACACTGTATCGTACACTCTATGGATTTTTGCACTTGAAAGTTTCTCATAAATTTATAAAAGTCCGAAGTCTAGCAATTAAGCGGTAACATCGAACCAACCCATCCTGAATTCGCCATAATTTCTGTTTTTCAGGTCCTGTCGGCCCTGGACATCCTTCAGCCACCACATCTGGACTTCTTCCAAGAAATGTATCCTTTTCTATCTTGTCGACAGCACGGTCGAAACTGGTTTGTCTTTCGGAGAAGTCCGAAAACGGTGATTCTTTTACAGCGTCCCGTGTTTCCGGGACTTTGTGCCGCCTCCCTATGCAGAGTTAGTTTCAACGTCGAGACACGCTACCCGGCATAAAGACTCCTTCGTGGAAATATCGCAAATTTTAAGAGTATCGTTCCGCTGCAAGGAATTCATACCTCGAATTACGACTTCGCTATTTTCCTTCTTCTTATCCTCCTATATCACGAGTTCGTACATTTTATCGTACGGAAGTTTGGCAAATTTTGAATTTCATCGGTTAGAAGCGAACAGGATAATTTATTGCCGAATGTAGGAACATAGTGTAGGAACAGAGAATATAATATAATATACAGATAGGTAACTTTGATTCTTTTTTAAATTATCTTTTCTTCTATTACAAGCATGCAAATTTTTTAACGTTTATCTAACCATATAGAAGCACATCATCTCCTGTGAATTTTGGGCAAATTTTCGCTTTGTCCGTGTAGAAGAAACGTTCCTAAAATTTTATATTCGCCGGCATCAAGCCTAGTCGAAACCACGCGAGAAATAAAAATGAAACATGCAGAGAAGATTCGACAAGATAAATAAAGAAACACACAGAGAGGGAGAGAGAGAGAGAGAGAAAGAGCAAATTAACCGAATCACGCGAAATAGAAGATCCATGGGATGCGTCCACTAGGATCTTCGACCACTTAACCCGTAGCCCGTGGATTTTTCAGTCGCTGCGGAAGCCAAGTGCACGCAACGTTCGTCTGAAGCGACGCGGCGCGGAAACTTTTAATCGAGGCAGTTCCGTGGCAGCTAGCAATTAAAGCGTAGAAGAAAAAATACCGCGATGGAGAAGCGATTCGACCAGCGACCCTTGTCGATCCTGACCGGTCGACCACGTGGAAATGTTTCATGCGAACGATCGCCGTTCCGCGGAACGACCTCTTCCGTTCATTTTTGTTTTCTTCTAACCTTTTCCTTATCATATAGAAAATCTGTCGCTGGTTGCGTTTTTGTTTCCTCGCGGGAACACAGCAAGACAACGATCGTAACGACAAAGAGAAAATATAGCGAGGACAATTTTTTCGAAAAGTTTTGGCTTGGATAGAGAAATATCGCGAGATATCTGCAGCGACGAGACTATCTTTCGACTTCGTTTCGATGCGTCGGAATAGAATCTGATGCTCGAAGAATTTGTTCGAACGATAGAAGCTTCGTAACTCGAATTCACACGTGAAATTCCACTTGAATATCGCTGACAAATCATTTTCGAATTTTATTTCTTTTGCAGCTTTATTCTTAGGAATCTTGTAGCAATTTTCGTAAGATTCGGATAGGGTCTATCGGAGTGTCGAAAAACGGGAGGAGTCAGACGGGTTTCACCTTGAAATTAAGCTTCTTCCCCGGCGTGGAACGTGACGGAACACGCCATCGTTCCGCCACGGCGTTATTGATCTTCCGGCGTTCGTAACGCGAGAACCGAGCCTCGAGATTTATTGGGTTACCTCTTCGTCTACACGTGTCCGTCCCACCTCTGCGCACGGACGCAACTTTCAACTTAATTTCGTTTTCAAGAAGGACACCTTCCTACACTATCGCCTCCGGCTGGAAACTGGCTGGTTTTCTAGGTGAATCGATCGTCTCTCGTTTCGTCTAATAGATTTCAACAGAAGGGAGAGCAATATTTAAATCTTCCTCTTCGATCGAAGCTTCTATCTTTTTTTTTCTTTTTTTTAATTCAAATTGAACAATCTCATTGTTGAAATTGTCTGTGTTAAGGTGCACATTGTATATATGAAATTGGAAGACACGTTGAAAATTGTTAAATGTTATATGCACAGGATATGTAACACGACTTGAAAATATTTATTAGAAGAAGTCTATTTTCCAATTGAAACAGGAAACTGGATACACGTGTTCGTTTTAAAGATTCTCGATTGTCAAGATAAATTTTTGTCGATTCATGAAACATTCAAGGTTTTTTTTTCCCCCAAGGTATATTTTATCAGAATTCTACTCAATATGTAACGTATCTGTCTCGATGATTGATGGAAATGGATTAATCCAGGACCCGGCTTTCCTAGGACACAGAGAAAAGGCAGGGGAATAAGCGAAACGCGCGTGTAACGAGACACTTTACTGCAAGAAGTGAAGTAAGCGAGAAGAAGCAAAGTACGACGTATGGTCGTTCGTAGTGACGTCTATATGTATCGAGTGTGCATGATATTACAGGAATGTACATGCATATGCCGTTATATAGGGCGGTTGATAACTGGTGGTACAAGCGGAAAGATGGTGATTCTACGCGAAAAGACGTCGAAAATATATAGTAAAAATTTTTCGTTCGAGGCTTTGTTTTATAACGGATCTCACTATAGATCGTTGTCTCGATGGAAAAATGAAAAAAAAAAGATTTTTATTTTATATTTTCGACTTTTTTACCCCCTTTCCGCTTGTGCCACCAGTTACCAACCACCCTGTATAATAGCGAAAGATCACAATAATTCATCGATCCAACAATAATCGAACTGACCAAAAGCATAGTACTGTATTTCGAGTTGGTGAAAATACGGAGTTTGCGTAGCGTTTGGAAGCGAAACTTCTTTGAAATATCACTGACTAATAGCAACGTGTCGCCACGTTCGTGACCTCCGCGGTTTCGTAATGATCTCGTAACGAAAAGTGACGCGCACAGAGCCGAGAACAAACGGTGCCTCCACGTAACCAGCGAGAGCAATCTGCACGTAACCGGCCGGCCGCTTACGTAACACCATTGGCCCGTCGGAGCTCTAGAGGAAGTCTTTTCCTCTCTATGATACTCCTCCGGAAGGGATTTGAAAAGGACGTGCCCGAGATTCGCGTTTCACGCAATCTCGGAAATTCACCTCGATCGAGACACACATTACAAGATTATTATAAAAATAGGAGAGAGATTCTCGTTATTCCGAAGTCTCTGCACAATCCATAAGATCTGCCTTTTAGAAATGGACATCATCGCGAAGATTCTGAAATTTTGTACAAACTGTCCAAGTACAATTTGATTTCAATCAAAGTTTCGAGAATTCGTCTTACTGCTTCTCTTGCTACTTCAATTGCACCAAGGCAAGTCAAACATGGCAGATGTTACTTCACGTAGAACTACGAGTGGAAGGTACAGTTGTTCTTAGAGAGTTTGTCCGCGATGTATGTACCAGATCGCCAAAACGTACGTCTGATTTCTTATTACGTGAATTGGAGCGAGTCAGCGTGAAACGCATGAGATTTCACTTTCCGCGAAACTCGGTGACTCGTCGATCGTAATCGGAGTCAGGCGCCATTCAAAGCCGCCGAACGATTGATCGATCGATCAACGTGAGAGCGATAGTCGATGGCCCCTTAAGCGAACGAGATCGCACGAACCAGCTACGAGAGTTAATCTCGATGAAGGCAGCTCGATAAATCAGTTCTTTCTACCTCTTTCTCTCTTTCCCTCCTTCTACCTCTTCACGCCGTTGCTCTATTTACCTCTTTATTACTTTTTTTTATATAAATACGGATCACCGGTGCTCCTCGTTATTACTTTTTTCCAGAAGACAACTTCTTAAAACCTTTCTCTTCTTTTCGTCAACTTCTTTGTCCTAACCTTTCCTCGTTTATTGTTCCAAGTTTCAATCCAGACAGATATCCGGCGTGACAGCATAAATCATCGTTACCGAGGGCGTTTGTCGCAAGAACCGTCTTCTTCGTTTCTCTTTTATTTTTCTATCGACATCTTTTTGTTCGTCTGTGTTTCGATGACAGTCGAACGGTTCGTAAGGAAAACGCGCGTTGATCGCGCTTCTCTTTCCCCAAGGAAGCAACAGGATATTTTGGCATCTCTAATTTACATTCTATATATTTCAATTTCTTTAAACAAAATATTCATCGGATCACGCGATTTCTATAAGCGTATGCGGAATTATATGGCGGAAGAATGACGTGTATTCGATTAAATCGGTAACTTACGGATATCGTGACAGAGGAGGTGTCTATAGAAACTTTATGAATGAAACATAATCTATTATAATATGGGTGTCGCATTATGTTCGTAAGATCAGCTTCTAGATACATATCGCCAGAATGTGTTATTACATATGCATCTAAAAGGATCAAAAATTTGACACGGGTCGTTAAGGGACCCTCTCGATCGGTCGTCTCGTCACTCGTCGTCTTCTCGCCGATTATGTCGCGTACACGAGTCACATTCAACGGTGCATGCACCGCTGCGAAGCTGATGAGACAAGACACGATGGCACGATTTACTGCCACCAAGCGCAGTGAATTCCCGCCTCGACACGGACCACCTGTTTCACGCTGCCCGCGCCCGATCGATTCGCCCGCGGATTACGTTTTTATCGATTCTTCCTTTCTCGCTTGCTCGTTACGCACCTTCAATTTTATCAGGGTTTGTCGAGACGTATATACATATATATGTGAGGGTGGATGCGTTGTCCGTGATAATTGTAGCTGCTGGCTGTAGATGTCGCTGCTGATGGGGTGGTACTGCTGTTTTTCTTCCATTTTTGATGAAGAAGAAAAATCGGAATCGCCGGGATTCGAACCCGGGTCCCGAAACGTTCGTAACATAAGGCGCTAACCACTGCGCTGCGGTATTTGCCGTTGAGTGCAGCCACATATATTACGAACAGTTGGCACGTGGAATTTATCGGTATCGAAGATTTTGAAAAACGTTGGAACTGTGTCGGAGAGGAACGAAGAGCGATATGGTTGTTCCAGAGTCGGAGGGTTTCGTGGAACGTCAGTTTTTAGCTGTTGCCATCTTATTTGCTTTTTTTTAAATCGGATACATACGTTTTCTAGCTGAATTTGCTTGTACAAGAAATTCATCCGCACTTGTTTAAAAACGCGTCAGAAAATTGATGTGTTTAATTTGATTGATGTGTGTATTTTTCTTTCGATTATCTTGTTCTATCGTTCCTTGCAA